GGTGATTCTAATATGGTTGAACACACTGAGATGATGGAACAGAGCATACACAATCTATTAACTGATTTGCTCATTAATTTGTATTTATACACACATATATATGCATACATATATATATATATCACATATATATGTGAGAGAGCAGTATTACATTAGATTTCGGATATTCAGTATTTCTCAAATATGTTCAGCAAAATACTAATAGTGTGAGGTGTCAATTACTATTGTCTGAAAAACAATAAAGCTGAAACCTATTGGAGAAACATACAGCTAAACTAATGAGCTTCTCTGCAGGACTTCTCTGGGCCTTTACTGTGCCAAGCATACTGTGAATCTCCAACTTACATTTTCAAAGAATTCCTTAGGGCTTATGAGATTACTATATGTTCATTCTCCAACAAATCAATTATTCCCAATTTTGGCTCATTATCTATAAAATGGTAGGTGCAGGGTTTGGTGAGACAGTATCTCTTTCATCTGTTTCATCTTTAAGATTCTATAATTTATTTTGCTTTCTTTGAATTTCCTATTGTAGTCTTCCTTTCCTATGCCTTTGTTTCAGAAAAGTCAGTTATTTGAAATAGTATATTATGGAAAATTTTAAATATATTCAACAGTGAAGAGAATAATATAATGAACCTCCATCTGCCATCAACCAACTTCAACTTATGGCCAATTCTGCTTTATCCATTTCCCTATTACCCTCAAAACTAAACTCATTTGAAGCAATTATCAGATGTTGTATCATTAATTGGCAAATACCTTGGTATAATTCTCTAAGATATAAAGACTTAAAAAATACATTCACAGTATTTTCATCACACATAATTTCCATCAACAAAATTTCTTAATTTCACCGGAATCCAAATTTCACATTACATAATTAACTCATAATTTTTATACTTAGTTAAAGAAATTAGGATCCACATAGTGTCCAAATATTTAACTGATTTATGTATCTTTTATATCTCTTTCAATCTACAGGTCACCCTCCCTCTTTCACATTTTACCCTTGCATTTTACATATTGAAGAAATCAGGTCATTTGTCCTATACAGATTTCCACATTCTGGATCCTGCATGGCTTATTTTAGCATGTTCCTCTGTCCTTAGTTCCTATTAATTAGTAGTTAGTTCAAGCAACTTCATTATATTCATGTGCTTAACTTTTCTTCCTCCTTCCCTCTCTTTCTCCTTTCCTTCCTTTCTTCCTTCCTCTCCTTTCTTTCTTGGCAAGAACATTTGATAAGCATCTTGTGTATGTTGTCACTCTTCTCATAACCTAAGCAGTGATTGACACTCATTGCCTACCATAATTTATTAGGAGCTGCAAAATTGAGTTGCTCTGATTTTGTCATCCATACTTCATTTATTTGTAGTGGAACTGCATCAAGTTATATTTACAAATTATATTTACACATTAGAATCAGCATTTTTATAATATTAAGTCTTTCTGTCTAAAAATGAAATCTGTCTTTCCATTTAAGTATAATCATGTGACTTTCAGGAGCAATTTACTGATTTCCTCGCTCAGGCTATTTATTTATTTTTGACAATATTGTCTTCTTTTCCATTCTGTCTTATTAAAAGGTATTTTAAAAATATATAAAAGTCATTGGTTTTACATTCTGATTATGTGCTACCTTATCTGTCATTGTAGTAATGTTTTCATTCATTCTTTTCAGTTTCTAAATATATCATCATCTCTGGAAGTATCTTCTTTTCACCTTCTGCCATAAATTACTTTCTCTTTTCTAGCATCATTGGCATTTCAGTGTGTAAGAAGATACCCTTGTCTTGTTTGTTATCTTTCTAATTATCAAGCATTATAAACTTGGAACTCACTGACTGTAATGCTGGAGAGTCAACTGAAAAGCTTTCCTTTCAATGATTTAGAAGATATTTTACAGTGCTGGAGATCAACTTCACATAATAAAAGGGAGTTTATGAAGTTTAGGTACTATATAACATAGGATGAGTTGAAAATAATTATTTAATTAGCCAAGGTAGTAGATTTAGAGCCTCACGATATGTACTACAGTCTCAAATTATTTAGTATGCCACTCTCCATTGAATCATCAAACTACTGCTGAATTTTTTTTGTGTGTATAATATTTTTACTATAAGTATAGTATTTGTTATTATATGAAATAGCTCTGAATAGAAATGATTTATTAATAGTCAAAGAAAATGGAATTTGCATTTCCTATGAGCTGAAACAAATTCTCATCTAAAGAATCACAAGCATCCATTTAATCTTCTAGAGCTAAATCAGAGTACAAAGGTTGGAGATGCTGATGTTTTGGAGTGCTTCATGATAGTTCCTCTAATTTGTCCCTTTTCTAAACATTTGTCAAGCTTCTTATGAGAAACGATTATTAATAAATACATATATTTATTCCTCAGCAAAGAGAACCACTAGGAAATACGCTATGAAGATTATTTCTTACAAGTTTATTCTTGAAATTTCAATTGAAATCACTTTTGTTAAGTTTGTATTATATAAAAATGATGCACCAAACAAAATTTCAACCCTGTAGGAGTTCACATTCTAATGAATAGGTGATAGATGGGTCAAAAAGCTCAAACAGAATAAAATAAATACTTATAAAGGCACTAATATTCTTCTGGGTTTGATTCTGAATAAAATATTGGTTTCTTAAACATTTCTTTGAAAGTTTCCGATGGAATAAAAAATGAAAAAGTTTGCATTCTACTAACAACTCAAGAATCTAGAACGTATTATTCAAATCAATGGCCTTTAAAAAGTCCCTATGCACATTTATGAATATGCTAAAGCCACTGTAAAATCAGCTTCATTACAAAGAAAATAATTTTATTCTTCTAAATGGCTCTTAGTTACTGTTGTGCACAATAGCTAAGAAAGTCTGCTAAGAAAAAGATATATATTTTTAAAAAATAAAAAGTAGGGGAGGGAGGGAGCAATTGGGGGGATCGTTTTATGAGCTATATAGATGTCTAACCAATGCACTGTATACTTGAAACTAATTTAAAAAAATAAATTTAAAAAACATAAAAACATTTATTTTTAAATAATTTGTCTAAGAACTGGTCTTAGATTTTACCCATAAATGTCTAAAACTAGTTTTTGATTTTTAATAGACTCATTCTTAAGATTTGAAAAAATGCTATTCCTTGTTACATAAAAATCTTAGACCGTGAGTATATTCCAAAACATATCATTAAAATATTTAGCAGAAAGGAAAAATGATAAGGGATACACATAATTGTAGTAACATAAAAAACAGCTTTAATGAGAAAATAATATAAATGTTAGTACTGATCAATTGTCAAGACAGACTTGATAGATAATTGTGTTGAGGTGTGAGGCAGAGCATGGAGAGCATGGTCTCTGGTAAAGGCCTTGACCCCTTTCCATCTGTGATTTTTACATGTTACTTACCAAGTGATGGAGAAACCAGGGAGTCTCATTACAGACATAGAAGTGTATATGTTTTCTAAGGCAAAAATGTAAGGAATCAATATGGCTGCCAGATACCATTCAAACATTTGTTTTGAGAAATACATCACAAGAGACAGCCTGCAGACTGCATATACTGTTACACATTTTTTTTAACTCTTTTAACTGAGTTCTTTTAACAGTTCTTCATGTTCATCACTATTTTAACTGAGTTCACTCTTTTAACTGAGTTCTTCATATTCATCACTATTTTTCTTATAATAAGCAATAAATAACTAAAACCACAAAGTCCTCCTTTTTCCATTATTCCATGTATACAAAAGTATAGAAGAGAAAATTATCTATGTATAGTCTCTTTGGTCTTATTTCATACGAGACTTCTTGTAAAGTTCTGTAAAAACATGACTCATGATGATTCACCCTGGATTAGGTGAGTCAGCATGATTTGGGATGTACTCACAGGATGCCGTATTGCTTAAAAAAATAGCTATATTTTAAAAGTTTTTTAAGTGTTCCAATTTATAACAGTGGCTACCCACCATTTTAGTGAACTAGAAAACAATACCAGAACCTCTGTAATAGTAATCCCATTTAATGGTACAAGGCTGTAAGTCTATTATAGTCCTGATTTTACAGATAAGAAAATCAAAACTAATTATAAACTCTTCATCCTGGCCAAGAGAGTTCTGCTAGTAAAAGTCACAGAACTAGGTTTCAAACTAATTCTATTTAATTCTTTATCCAGTGCCCTAAATCACTACATCATCTACTTAAAATATAGCTGAACAAGTTATGTAATTATTAACAGGTGTGGAGTTGTAATTCTTCAAAAATGTAGTGCACCTTGACTTTCTGCCTTTCCACCTATACCTTTTTTGTGGGTTTATTTTTCTTTCTCTGCTTGGTAAGGCACATTCTACTTCTGCTCTCTTCTTTAACACTTAATTTTTAGGTATGCCTTGATTCGATTTGATTAAATAATTTGATTAAACGATTCATCTAGTACTATTAGATACATAAAGAATTTAGTGCTTTTCAAAGTGCCCTAAATTGCAAATGAATTAAAAATAATCAATGCTTCTTTAATCTATTTTTATGAGTTTCCCGTAGTCATATGTATGCATGTCATGTAAAGATGAATCTACAAATAGTAGCATTTAGCATAAGAGAGCATTTCCATTCTGATTTTTGGCCAAGGTTTCTGAAGATTTTTGCCCTGATTTTAAATGCAGATGCCCTCCGTCTGTCTCTCTGACCTAGTTGAAATAGCATAAGCACAACTCAGCTCTTCATCTAGCATTGTCTTTCAAGACAAGTGTCTCTGTTTATTAAAAAAAAAAAAAGAAGATTATGCCAGTTGTTTACAAAACCACATAAAAATGATGAATATGTCAACAAAGCAGGGGGCATTAATTTTAAAACAGAATGGCAAAGTACTTATTTTAATTCTGTAATTATGCAAGTAATTATGTAATAGTCTCTATTGAATTAAAAAGAGCTAACTTATTGTGAAAAAAAAAAAGTTTATAAAATTTCCCCCAAAAAACAATCCCACTTACTTGTTCAAATTCATTTTTTTGAAATTCTTCAAAACCAAAGATATCCAATATCCCAATATCCAGTGTCTGGGTGCTGAAATGAAACAATTAAACGGTGACTAGGCATAGTTAAAGCTCTTACATGACTACCTGCCTGCGCTACTTCTAGTCAGAGAAATCCAACCAGTTAGCATATCCCTACCAACGTGAAGTACAAGCACATAAATAATTATCTTAGAGTCTGGTGAACACTCTGAAAATTAGGGGGGGAAAGTGTTCTTTTAATGCTTTGACTCAAACACAGATATATTACCAAAACTACATTGATTTCTAAGTTTAAAATGTAACATTACATGGGTGGTTTAATATTTGTTTCTGAAATAGTCACTGTGTCTTTCTCCTTTGATTAGACTTGCTTTCTCAGAAGCAATTTGTGCCCATTGTTAAGTGGCTCTCACCAACTAATATCTGAATCTTAGTCTGCACAAGCAGGGATCAAGCAATTTCTTCACTACACATAAGTACAAGGTAAATCACAATTAAGCCATATGCAATGTTCTTTGATAGAACAAACTGAGCCACTCTAAAAATTATATTATGATCTTCCTAGAGGAATTATGAAGAATGAAGAACTTGAAACTTGGTTGCAAAATGGAAAGAAATCAATCTAAGTACTTTTTTTTTGGATGTAAACTATCACTCGGAGTTTGCTACAGTCTTGGATGGTTAAATCACAGATGTTAGAACCCTCATGGTGAGCGAGGAAAGGAGGAAGGAAATCTGGTTGGTGACAGCAGCCCTGACAACCCAGATTCTGTGGGGAATATGGAGGCCGTACAAGGGAGTGTGTGTGAGGTTGCTTCTTGCAAAAACAGCCCCCAGATGAATCTGGAATGCTGGACACCAGGAGGGCACACCCCTTCTATTTTGCTGGTCTGTGTTTCTATTGTAGAAGCTTAGTGACAAGCTTGTCAGGTTTTGAAATTGTTTTGTCTTGCATAGGAATCCTAGTTCAAACACTTTTTAGTTGGCTATCTTTGGGAAAACTTTCTGAGCTGCAGTTTCATCATCTGTGAAACTAAGATAACAAGTAATATGTGTCCATCTAGACTGTAGTTAAAATTAGAAGTGATATAAATAGCGGGGTAATAGTTACTATACAATGTATCTCCGATCACTGGAAGTTGCTTTTTTTTTAAAAAAAAGTAGTTGTCTAATAGAATAAATATAAATGGCTAATAGGCATATGAAAAATGTCAATCTCATAAAATTGCAAAAAATAAAAATAAAAATTTAAAAAATTAGGATGAAAAAGCTAGTCTCCTAAACGTTTTTTGGGAGTTTCAATTGGTAGAGACTTGAAAAACAATTTAGTTAATGTGACATAAATCTTTAAAATGTTCATTTCATTTGAACCAGTACTTCCATATATAAGAACCTATACTAAGACAATTATTAGAAATGAAATTAAAAACTTATGAACAAAGTTTTTATTGTTATCTTAATTCCTTCCAGTAGCAAAAACATAAAGAAATTATAAATACCCCACACTAAAGACACAATTAATTGAAAGGCATACATTCTATGACAAATTAATTTAGTGAAACTGTCAAGTTAATAGAAAGCAGCATATAAGTTCTGTATAAAGAATAACCTGTTATATATCCAGAAGACCTAGAAAGAAGTACAATCGGCCTGAGAAGAGGAAATAGAGATGGTTTTGTTTACTTCTTTTTCTCGTTCTGAATTTTCAAAGGTTCTTCTAGTAAAACAATATTATTTTTATAATTAATAAATATCCACGTTTATAAAGACACTATGAAAGCATGGTAAATATTTTTGAACAACAATAAGCTAGAAGCTAAAGCAGGAACAGAATTTATAACTTTTGTATATTAATCGTAACTTATAGCATAATTTCAAGCACATTAAAAAATGTATCCATGGCACACACACAAAAAAAGTGAACTGTAGATGTCTTGAATGGTAGACCTAGAGTTGACTTCTTAGTTTTTAAGATGTTCTATACTGAGTATTATAATATTCTTTATTATAAACCTTTATTTAAAAGATATATGATTAAATACATGTTGGATATTTTCTGAGTTAATGAAGGAAAGGACAGCAATACTCTTCCGAGCAAAGAAAGAAAAGTATAGCCCAGCAGATAAAGTGGAGAAAGGTGTCTGGTTGTCCAGGGATGGGAGGTGCAATAGGGACCCCAGGAGTCAGGAGAGAAAGAGCAGGGGCACTTCCTGAAAGTGATGTACTTGCTGTAAATATGTATGCTTCCTGCCAACTTCTATCAGGATCTCATGTCTGATTTCCTTGTCTGATTTCCAGCTAGCGTTAGCAGCAGTAGTCCTATGTTTATAGTACATAACGTTGATAAGAAGTAGGAAAAAGGGCAAGAGCTACCAGTGACATGATGTCACTATCTACGTTTTTCTCCTTCTCATAAGGAGGGCGACTTTGTGTTGACAAGCAGAAGAAGGATGCTGAGGCTACCCAGGTACGTAAATGAGCAAAATATGTTAAAAGATTCTAGTCCAGATTCGGAGAAGTAAATTATTAATTAGTAATTTAAAATAGCATAACTTGGATTAAAGGACACTCCTTTTAAATTATTCTTTTCACATTCCATAGATACTGGATTCCAAATTACATTTACTTACAAAATTAAAATGTTATTTAAAAAAAAATGGTAAGCAAAAAAAAAAAAAAAAAAGTCAGGAGAACAATTAAATGCAGGTTTAATGAGTTTTAAGGATTACTTTACAACTGCTGACAGACATAATGTGTTCATTTTTTTCCAAAATCTATTTCATCATTTATGATTGAATGAAATATGTGTCTGTTTTTGCAATGGCAACCTTGGCAGGAGGGTTAAAGAATTTGCAGCCAGCAAAGTGCCCATACTATGTAGCAGTCAGCATTACTGTCATTTCTCTTATTGATATCTTGACTCATATTACACAGGCATTTAACTTAACATCAATTTCTATCCAGGAGGAGCAGACAAAGGTCATCTGATCAACCTGGATTCAATCCTATAAGAAAAATTAACATATTAATGAGATGGTCTATTTTAGTTCAAATTCTGCCTTAGAATTCTCCTGAGGCCTTTCCTGATGGTTAACAAAACTATCTAACTTGCATTACTGTATTAGTAAAATACAACACGTTTTATATCAGACAAAATATTAAGTGCCGAAGCATCTGTCTGTTTTTTATTTTGTTTTCTGCGTATGAATATGGGAAGGGGAAAAGTTCAGAATAAAGAGAATGTCTACCTTAGAATATCGATGAACTAATTTTATTTGGGCAGAGAGGTCTGGTGGCATGCACAAGTGAGGTTTTGTCCTCAGTCATTCTGAGGCAAAGAGAGTTACCTAAGTCTATAGTCAGTTTAGGAAACAGCTGAATCCTATTTGGCATAAAACCCTCGATTGAGCCAGAGATGAATCAGCTATTCAGCTGATCATTGACCGGTAGAACCCCAGATGGGGTAAGAATGAAATATAAAAGCATTCCAGATTTGAGTAATCTGGCTGTCCAGACACACTGCCCTGGGGATAAGATGGACTTACACAGAGGTTAATGGTGCAAAGTCCTTGAAGACGTTGAGCTATGCTATGGTACTACCCAGCTGCTGAAGAATTTAGTTAAAATAAATTTTGTTTTTAATTGGCAAGGTGCATTCATTGTGAAGGCTAATTATGCCTATTTCAATAGCTTATCTGAATCTTCCAGCGCTTTCTCTAGTCTATGAGAGGAACTTGAGATGGAGAGATGTGACTTGTATACTTTGAGCAGTTCCTCCCTTTTATTCTTTGACTGAAGAAAGTACTTGAGGCTTATCATTTTTTGAAAACATGTCATGAATTAAGGAAAATTTTGCAGTGGCCGACAAGTTGAGCTAGAAGCTGGATGATGGGTAAGGACAATGGTTACCAAAGCAGCCATCTACCTCCTTCTAGCCTTTGTGATATTGTGCATAGCAACTTAGTTCCTAAATGCAGTCCTTTGCACTTCCCACCTACTGGAAATATGTTTGGAAAAAAATCAGTTAATAAGCCTGGATATACAAGAAACTCCTGGGATGAGTATGAAAACTAGAACTACCGTGTACTAAGCACTATTATGAGCATTTACGATGCCTTACCTCATTTAGCAGTAACTACTTTGTGAGATAAGGACAATAACCACCCCCATTTCACAGAGGAAAATACTGAGACAGGATGGTGAAGCTTTAAGTTGTCCAGGGTATGCATTAGCATTACAGGGATCCAGGATTTGAGCCCAGGCTGTCTAATTCTAGACCCTGTGCCTGTAAGCCCTACAGAGTACTGCATAAAGCCACTTCCAATTGCTGGTCCTATAAACAAGTCTAATTCTGACCTGCAGCAGAGAAACCAGGAAAAGAACTCTCCATAGGAGTAAGAAGAGTACAAAGAATAAAAGATCATTTAACCCTTCTTATCAGTGAAAGCTACAACTCACAGTTGAAAAGTATTACTACTTAGTACTTTTAATAAACATATGCTCTTATTCAGTATAAGTTGCACTCATAACAGTGTTATACATGTATGCTTTGTTACCAAAAAACATCTTTAGAAACAGCAATCAACTTACCATACAATTTACTTTTTAAAACCATAAATGACATTTAGTTGATATGAACTCTTACATTCCTAGTATAAAACAACTCTCATTTCAGAACAGCAGGTTATTTAAGTAAATTAGAACATCACTGCTCCACCAAGTATTCTATAGTTATTAAAAGAGATGGTTATAAAGGATACAAATATGAATAAACAATTATGACAATGAAAAGAACCAGACACCAAATTGTGTGTATTGGATATGGATTAACTGGAACCCTCATATATTGCTGGTGGTAGCTTAAATTTGAAATCTGGAACACAGTTTGATTTCATCCACTAAAGCTAAAGTACATGCCTATTGAATAACCCAGGAATCCCACTCCTGGGCATGGATCCACTAAAGTGAGTGCATGTGTCCACTAAAAGACATGCATGAGAATATTCATGGCTACTTTATTTACATAGTCAAAAACTAGAGACAACCCAA